AAAAAAACATGTTTATTTCTGTTTGTACAGCTCTATATCGTAAATTAAATTGGGGCCCATAAACGCTCAGAGTATCCGAACGGAAAGCGAAATTGTGGTAAAAATATTATAGACCCGGAGCCCGAAGTGTGTCATAAAAATAATCTTAGTGACTGAAATGTTTACGCCAAACGTCAATGTTGCGATGTTTTCGGTTTCATTTTTTTGTATATGTTCGTACTGAGTGATATAAGTGATTTATAAGATGGATGTTCAACTCAAATCCATTCGTAGAAAGTTTTTCCGAAGGTATCTTGTACTTACATTCGTAAGGCAGAAATTATCATTTTGCGTGATCGTTTCCCGGAATATTTGGGAAATAGGGCACGATGTTTAGTGTGTTTTTTCATCTTTGAATAAATATAGGTAAAATCATACCTGTCGTTCCCAGAATGGTAAGGCGGAGACGTATTTAGATAGCACTCACTTTAGGCAATTTATGCTAATAAATCTCCACAGTAATTTGAAGTTAGACTGAAATCAAGTTCGAAGTTTAGACTATTTCTGAGAACTTGGTATTTCAGTATCAGTACCAAAAAATAATTAGGTACTTCAATTCATGTTTAGGTAAGTATACACCATTTATATTGTACAGAATAATTTTTGACCTGAACCGTAAAACGGGTTAAACAGAATTCATAGGGTGAATGGATATGGCAATGGAGTGGGCCTATGTTAGAACAATTTCCCAGCATTTATTCATTACTAGCTTTTACCCGCGGCTTCGCTCGCGTCACAAATGGATAAAAAGTAGCTTATGTGGTATATACCAATACACACAGCGCTATCTATACCAATAATTTCGTTTTCCCTCGAGAATATCAATCTCGGGATAAAAAGTACCCTATTATTTAATCCAGACTTCTAACTTCACGTCTGCAAAAATTCAAAGCAATCGGTTTAGTGGCTACGGCGCGAAAGTGGAATAAACAAGCAAACAAACAAACTCACTTTCCGATTTATAATATTAGTAAGGATTTTCTGTGTGTATTCACCCCTCGAATTCTATTCATCCCATTTTACCGTAACTGAAGAAAAAAAAAGCGAAAGACGATTTTTTTTTGTATGTCGGCTTCTGTACTATATATCTCATTTGACGTTTAAAATTGATTGACTAACGAGAGACTTGTTGCCCAGCCGCTTAATTACTCAAATTACTCTGCAATGAAAACTGCATTCGATGTCAGAGAGCTTTAATACCAATAAAAGACTTTGACTTTATGTGTGCAGTAAAAACTAATCGTCGGAATCATTATTGATTGATACACTGAGTTGGGGTTTTATGTAATTGAAATTGCTTATAAGGTAATTAGTCCACCAGTACTAAGTTCAGTTTTTGGTTCTAGGTAAATATTGTTAAGTAAAATGTAGGTGTTAGATTATTAGAATTACGTTAAAGATGTGTAGTGTTGCATAGTGCAGAGTCTAGTACTGCTCTAAAAAGCCTAGAGGTCATAGGTCCTCATAGGTCTACTTTCTAGTCGCTCTATAGTCACTATTGAAGTGTTTTTATTGAGATTAATATCTCAAGTTCCTAATTTTGCGTTCCCAAAAAGTAAGGCGTTTTCTAAAACTCTCATTTTACCAAAAAAGGAAACGGGTGTCTTTCTAGTTTTTTGAACAATAACAGCTGTGACATCATAAAACATTAAAAACTTCTTAGTGCTTATACTGAGGAATCAGTTTATAGTACACTTATAAAACAAAAGATATACAACAATTTGTAACAGTGACATAACATCACGCCTTTTATCCCCGAAGGGGTATGCAGAGGTGCACATTATGCCACTGTTCAATGTAACACCCACTTTTCACTATTTACGTTATGAGTCCCGTGTAATAGGGGGTGAGCCTATAGCCATATACCGGGCACAATTCCAGACACCGTGCTGCTACTGAGAATTTTTTTAAAACCCAGTAATATTTTGCCCTACCCGGTAATCGAACCCGAGACCCCTTGCCCGGCAGTCGCACTTGCGACCACTCGGCCAACGAGGCAGTCAACTTATTTCACTAAAAATAACAACAGATATGGCTGACCTCTGTAGAAAATGTCCCTAAACATATTAAAGAAGTAATACGTAGGTACTTTTCCCACAACCAACTTTTTAATATCGAAATAAAAAGATATTTATGATACGCAGTAACTTCACAGAGTTTTTTTTTTATAACTTGAAGTCGTCATTCGAATATCAAATTACTTTTTTGTTGGGACATTATTTTGACATTGAATCGGTCTCCGTAAAATAATAATTGAAAAAGAAAACTAATTTTTTTGAAGAAAAAATTGATTCCTCCGTACTTTTTATATTATTAAAGTCAATTTTCTGAATTCAATTGTAAGTATGAAAGATAAACTTTTTTGATAATGTAGATAGAATTCTGAAAATAACAAGTTCGGTGTTTATTTCGGTTGAAATTATGGGCATTTGGGCTGATACATTTTGTAGGTAGTAGGTTGGTTTTAAGCTAGGTATTTGGTGAGTACTTGTTTCCTAGGAATTTTTTCAATAACTATAATGGGTGACCCAATTTTTATAGTAGGTACCTACATACCTAGGTATCACATTTACAATTATTATTTCTATTATATCGACCATGGTGTGAAGTGATTGATGAATACGTGATAAATCGAAGCAAGTAATCGCAATAAAATACAAATTGGACTATACGTTTAGTAACGTTAATATCACGACTTTACACTTTAAAAAAGGTTCAAACCCTCAAATCGGACCAATTATCAAATTTTCCAATAACGGCTTCTAGTCTAGGGAGCATAATCTCTATAGAATCGGCCGTAAAAGAAATTGAACGAAAAGATAGACCTTTCTATAATAGCTGACTGTGGCGTCGAACAAACTAAAAGTTCACAATCCTCGTATAGTTTGGTTAAACTTTAATTAGTTGGGTAGTTCAGGTGGCGAGTTTTTAAGCGATGCAAAATGCTGACGTTATTGAAATTAGTACCAATTAGTTTACATAAAATATTCAACTTTAATACAGTTTAAATAGAGCGTATAATTGAGTTGCGCTGCTGTGTAGTGGTGTATTTTTTGTTGTCTTTTTATTTGCATTGCATTGAATTTTTGATTCATAAGCGTTTTGAAGGATTATGGGATTCACGTGAAAAACGCTTAATTAAGATCTCGATTCATAAAAATGTATTGAAGTTGTAGTTTTGTTTTTATTCTATTAACATTTTTATAGATTTGCTGCACGAATGGGCCTTGCGCTGGTCATATTAGAGTAATTATTTTTTAGTTCTAACTATTATAAGTTACTAGGAGTCTGGAAATTCCATGGTGGACATAGATTCCTTAGGTTGTGGAACACAGATGGCTCTCGTTCCTTGTAAAATATTGACATTCATCCAAATGGATTTGGCTAAACATTGTTGTTTCTGGCACTGAGTTAAGACTCAATTACGGCATTGGGTCTTAATTCTGGTTAAGACCAGAATGAAGACTAATGTAATTCAATAGATTTAGTACCTACTTTATAAAAATCCATAAGGACTGTTTATATCTCTATCTTCCCTGCCACAAACTAGGTGAAGCGTATCAAGCGTAATATAATGTTAAATAAAAAAACCGATTGTATTTTTCAATCAATGGTGTTTCTTGCTCGTTGTTCTCCACTCGAATCTACTGTTTCGAATGAGCAGATGCTTCACTGATGGAGAGACTGGTAGACTATTATTTATTTGTATTAGTTGACGTTTCAAGTACTATATTATGGTTTAATTGAAACAAATGCTTTGACTTTTTTTTAAGGGGGGAAAATCATCGAATGACTGCTCTCGCCTGGGTGAGGCGGGAGGGAGTGTCGGACTCTTCTAAATACCACCCCGTTCCTTCTTCTGCACGTCGAGCCGGAGCCCCGGTAACCCGTTAGGTTCTCCGCGACAAATGCTTTGACTTGGCTTTGAGTATTATTCCGATTGCAAAGGAACCACTAAACTAATTTATTTTCTTCTTTATTTCTTAAATAATAAATTCTATGTAGCATTTCAGCCTTGAAATTGCCCTAACAGTTTAAAATAAGCTTATAGCAGTAATTATAACAATCTGAGTCAGTTATTTTCCCTTTGGCTTTTTCCCAGAAACTTAAGTTTATGTAAGGTAGTATCAAGGTTTGGTTGCGTGCCAATTATCTTATTAACGAAAATAATAGTAATTTGTATGTAATAAAATACTGGAGGGTGTAACGATGTGTGAAGTTTTTAGCATCGTGACTGTTTGAGCCAAATATTTTTGAACTTTATTTATAGTTTTTACATTATCCTCTCGCGTGTTTCTCGTACACACGGGTGTACGAGAGAGTTGAGTGCCCATCGCGCAATTGTACACACGGGTGTACGAGAAACGCGCACCGATTGGATATTTTTTCTGTAACGTATATTTTCAAGTTTGAAACCCGTTCTTTATTTGATTGAACAGAATAGTTAATTCGCTTTTCTATTAAAATATTTAACCGTGTGTAAGAGAACGCGCGTTTACCCGTGTGTACGAGAGGCGCGCGAGAGGTTATTAGTAGATAATAGCAGTTTCATGATTATTTTATTCCGAAATACATTCAATGGTGAACAGGTCTCTGCCTCCAGCCCCGTTGAGGAAGGGTTTGCCAAAGGTCCCATACTTGGCAGGCGACACAGTTCGAGTCTTGCTCAATAATGGACAAGTAATATAAATTAGGTAACTTATTATACTCTTTGGGTATACCTTTTTGTCAGTTGTCCAATACGCCATCGTCTATGCCACGAATGAATATGGAACAAGGGTGTCATATTCCTCTATACTTATCTATACTTATTATACTCTTTGGTGTCATATATGTCACAATGACTATCAAAATGTCATAATACAAATCTTACACAAATTCAAAGTGAAATGAAAATAAATAAAAAAATCAAAAAGAAAAGTAAACAAAGAATAAAAAGATAGTTATATTATTTCAACAAAATGTATGTATGTGCGTCGGTTAGATCTTTGACCCCAGAAGAAATAGAATTCAGAAGGAGAGCGCTACGGGACGCTGTAGTCTGTATCGGTTGGCTAAAAATTGTAAGTTTTGCTACAATAACAATTTACTTAACCCATTAACCGCCAAAAATAAAACAGCAGTAGTATTATTACAAAACTTTTATTTTCATGTTGTCTATGAATCAAATAAACATAAAAAAATAAAAAATATTGAAAAAAGAAATTAGGCTTTTCAGGAGAGGGGTGTACCCAATTGGGTACAGCGGCGGTTTATCGATGAAAATTTTCAAAACATTGTTTTTCCACACATAATGTTTTTATACACTTTTTGAATTGCCAACGAACTCTCGCGTGACAAACAACACATCGCAATGGTTTTTCAATCTTTTTTGGGTAATGCCCCACACCATCTTGAGGCAAACCTTGCACTATTGAGGATGACGGTCGAGTTTTATGGTCTGTTTTTTGGCGTAAGTAATATCTTGCAATAGCTCGTCGAAACTGTAGCTGGTCCATTTTATCAGTATGACTCAGAACATGCAAACGCCATGAATTTGCAATCGCCATATCAACCATGTAGGTAAACAAAACCCACCACCACTTTTTTCCGTGAACAGCAATCCTGTAACAGTGCAATTGATTGGTCTAATTCATCGACACCCCCCATATTTTATATATGTTTGAAATAGTTTTGGTATGTTGACATCAACCTTTTGACGTTGTGTTGGAGACCATCGCTTTACAACTCCAGTGGTTCAATGGTATCGTAATTTGTCGCCATTGTACAAACACTATTATCCTTCCATCTCATAATAATATTTCATTTTGATTATCAAACCTGTAATCATATGAAGCACGATCTTCTTTCTTCATATCTTTAGTGTTTCTCAGAGGGCATTTCTTCGTTCTGTTTTCTCGAATGGTTCCAGTGCTCGGTACCCTTCTTTTTTCAGCTCGAATAAGAGATTATAGTTGGTAAAAAAGTTATCAAAAAATTTTGATGGTTTGTTGGATCAGTCCTCAGTTTCTGTAATAAACGATTTGACTACTCTTGATCCTAAAGGGTCAGTAGAGGCTTCGAGGGCTTTGCCGCAGTAAAAATCAAAAGTATAACAGTATCCGTTGAACTTGCTGCTACCCTTCTTATAGCCAAATCGCACCGGTTTTCCTCGAATAAATTGCTTCGCAGAGTGATGGCCAATGTACTTTACCATCGATTCATCAATTGAAATATTCTTATGTATTATACCCCACTGCAGAAATTTTTCATTAGAATATCAGCTAATGGTCGGACTTTGAACATTTTGTCCCTGGTTGTAGTTGCTACGTCATTGTTCACAAAATGAAGATTCTTTTTTATATCCGGAATCTTTGCCGTGTCATGGCCTTTGATACCATTTCAACACCGACATCTTCATCATAAGACCGTACAAATCTTCTCTGGGTAATTTTGATATCCAGACAATATATATGCCTATAACTTTTTCAAATCATAGAATCTAACTGAAAGTATGTCTGTAAGTATGTTTTGGTTAGCATATAAAATTGTGTTAGTAATTATCAGGTTTATTATTTCTTCATCAAACATTTTTTCAATATGTGTACGGGACTAAGTTCTCCGAGTGTTCTTTTTATGCTTCTGTCTTTGTTGCCATCAGATCTTTCTTCAGTCGTAGAAGAGTATATAGGGGAACACTTACGCCATACAGGCTGACATAGTTGCTGTCGCCTCTCTTTGTCTTTTCTGCCAAAGGTTCGTCGTCGCTGCTGTCATCACTTTGAATGATGTCTTCGTTGGCTCTAAAAACCTCAATATTACAGGCACATCCTGCGGCAAGTAGCGGTAACCATGTCCTCGTCGACGCCTTCTTCTTCATCTGTAACGACGCTAGGTTCTGGCGGTATAACAGCAAAGTCATATTCGCCATCACTGTCACTCTCATCCAAAACAGTATTGACTGCTTCCTCTAAGCCTTTGTAACAGTTAGAAACGTTAAAATTTCTCGAACTCATGGTAACGAAATCCTAGAACAATTAGCACAATCGTTATATAGATTCGGCCGCTGTACACAATTGGGTACAGTGATCTTTCAAGCACGATAACTTGGTAAATACTAATTGTTAAATAGTTTTTTTATTAATTATTTTACGAATAAGGATGTATAAAACAAAAAAAAAAATATCAGAAACTTAGGTTATGAAAACACAAACAAATTATTTATATTAGTGAACTTACCTCGATAAACGATTATATCGTAAAGTTGAAATCCTCACTGTGACAGATTATATGAATATACCCACATAAATTGTGATTTGTTTGTGCTTGAACTATCACTTTATATTATAGGTCGAAAAAAACAAATATAGATTAGTAAATTTATTGTCTACCCTCAATTAATTAGCTGTACCCAATTGGGTACAGAGGCGCCAAATGGGTTAAGAGGATGTTCGACAAGTTTAGGGTCAAACCAAGGCTCTGTACTTACATTATTTGCTCGCTTAGTTTAGGGTTATGCTAGTTGAGTAACGAAGTTCTTTAGAAGAATATATTTATCTGTTGTGGTACTAAGCATGCCTAGTTTTAGTAAGACATCTTACATCCTATTAATTTTTGGTTACCTATCTGTTATGCGCAGACCACCTGCCCAGCCTTTCAATTTTTGAGTCACCTTCAAAGCCATCGCCATCGACCCTCACGACAGAATATACATCCCCACCATGTAGATGGTTGGCAGGCCACAACTGTGCGCTTCTCACGATGCTTTCCGCCTCGCAAAACTGTGGAATGATCTGTCGTCGACGGTATTTCCGAACCGATAAGACCTTCAAACCTTCAAGAAAAGAGCGTATTCCTTTTTAAAAGCCCGGCAAGGCACTTGTGACTCTTTTGGTGTTGCGGGTGTCCATGGGCGGCGCTGATCGATTACCATCTGGTGATCCGTCTGCTCGTTTGCCTCCTATTCCATAAAAAAAGCGTGAGGTAGATACGGAACTCCTTCTGAACAAAGAGGCTACACTTCTTTCTTACAAAATTTATTTTCTTCTATGCAATCAGTTTGAGTAGATCAGGCAATGTTTTTCTGTTTTAGTATAAAATTATTTTGTGTCTTTTCCAGTTGTCAATGATATGTTACCTAAGCCTGTACATGTTGGTTTCCAGTCACAGTAAAGGTCCTTGGTCAACTGCCATACAGATAATGATTTTAGGAATTATACCTCTACAAATTCTTAATGGAGTATTACTATTCTGGGGTGCTACTGAAGTAAGTAATGTGATAAAGTCACCATACTTTTAACATGTTTAGATAAATTACTATCGAGGTAAATTATTATCGAGGAGATAAGAAAGTTTTAAGTAAATTCTGCAAGCACTGTCTAAAAGTTATCGAGGTTTTTTAAAAGTAGTGCTCAAAATAGTACCTTATCATAGTCAGTATTCAGTGAAAAGAGGTAATCGAGTAAAGAGAAATAAAAACAAAATTGTTCAGCAAAATGTATCTAATCGAACAATACGCGCTCTTAAGCTTCGTACCTCGAACAATCTACATCGATATTTGGGAACTGCGAAAAAAATGTTTTGCTCGTTTCATCGTTTTATTTCCCGAAAGAATCCAAAGGAGGCTTTGACAATAAAACCGAACGATTCTGTCATCGTACTCAAGATCAACAAAAGACATTTAAGGGATTCCGATTTTATCATAAACCCACCTTCGAATCCCTCCGCTTCGGGCCAGTAGCTCGTACAAAAGACTATATACGCGCAAGTTTTCTTTGACAAACTTCAATTTGCCTTCGGCATATGCTCGTTAACAATACAATATAAACAGCAGTGTTATCTTAAAATATCTTTGAGCCTTTATTTATCCGGATTTGGGACCGCAAGTTGTATGGAATTTTAGATGACCCCAATACGTTGTCAAAACTATCCTTTTGATGATTTGTACTCGTACGTGTTTGTTAAGATGTATATTTAAGCTTTGACTTGCTACCTTTCCATGATCCTTAAAGGGTGATTGAAGATCAGTAACTACCATTGGAGGAAAACGGCCGATGGGGTTTCCAAGGAATTTTTAGGGGCTTATGCTTTGATATCTTCGTTTCAGGAAAAAATAGCAGCCTTGGAATTGGCGCTGTGGATGTGTGTAATGATAGCAGCATACAATACCGTTTTGGGTGTAATTGGAGGAATATTCTTCACAAGAACTGGGTTCCTATTCATACACTTCGTGATGGCTCTTATGTTTTCACTTTTGTCATTGTCCATATTTAGTAAGTGGAATTTATTTTATTACTAGCTTCTGCCCGCAACTTCGTACGCGTACCATCCCATTTTTTCCCGACCCCGTTAGTGATATTCGGAAAAAAGTAAAAAGAAAATTGGTTAAAGAGTATCCTATGTCGGTGTCTGCGCGTGAACGCAGCCGGACGCTCCCGGAAGAGGCGGGGCGCGCGGGGGAGGGCGACGCGAGCGGAAGCGGCGCACGGCCACCATCTTTTTCTGGCTTGGGATCGTTCGCGGACGACACAACACAACCTTACTGTTTTAATTCTAATATACCAGTTTAAATTACAGTCCACTATTATTATTGAAGAGACCCATACCCAACATTGGTCCTTCCACCGAGAGAAGAATTAAACGGCATAGTTATACACGTGCGCCGATCTATTGCGCCGTGTCCAGTGGCGTCATCCCCGAGAAAACTAACCGTCAAGGAATACACGTGCGCCGATCTATTGCGCCGTGTCCTGTGGCGTCATCCCCGAGAAAACTAATCGTCAAGGAATACACGTGCGCCGATCTATTGCGCCGCATCCTGTGGCGTCATCCCGGAGAAAACTCATCGTCAAGGAAAACACGTGCGCCGTTCTATTGCGCCGTGTCCCGTGGCGTCTCCGCTCTTCGCAGTCCACCATCACTGAAGAGTGAAGACCAGAGCACAAGCAGTCACCAGTGGCCAACACGTGTCCGCAACCATAGTGCCGCGTGGCATCGCTGTTCAGATTTCACATTGATGGTCAAGGACACGTGGCGTGTAGTGAGTCGTTCCAATTTTATTCTATATCCGTATTACCTCCTCTAGTCTCCTCTGGTTTGCATTGGCACTAGCTAAAGGCTTCGACCCCCTATATTGCACGATGGCTGACAAACTCATTCGACAACGGAGTTCGATAAAGGCTAAGCTTACTAATTTCACTACATATCTCACAGTCTTGGAAAACACTGATCAATTGTCTGACGTGCAAGTACTCGACCTCGAAAGTCGATTTAGGAAATTCGAGCAGCTTTATGACGAATTTAATCTAATCCAGACAGAAATTGAGCTGCTGTTGGACAATCCTGACGATGCCTACGTGGATCGCTTCAAATTTGAAGAAAGGTACCACAGCGTGGTTGCCGCGGCGCGCAAAGTCATCGCTGATGAGCAGGCGCGACAGCAGGCCAAGACTTCAGGTTCTGTATCAGGCTCCGAGGTGACAGGTGGGACAAAAAATTTTATACGTTTGCCTAAAATTGATTTACCCCGCTATGATGGCAGCTATCAGTGTTGGCTAGAATATAGGGACACCTTTCTTTCATTGATACATAACAATACCAGTATTGATAACATAAATAAATTTCATTATCTACGTGCGTCACTAAAGGGTCAAGCTGCTGAAGTCATTAAAAACATAGATTTCAGAAGTGACAATTATGTATTAGCTTGGAATTTATTATGTGAGAGGTATGATAATAGTCGCCTGTTAATAAACAATCATGTCAAGGCACTATTTAATGCCGAGCCTATTATAAATGAATCCAGTGCTGCCTTACGCAGCCTGGTTGATGTCACAAATAAAAATATTAGAGCATTAACATTATTGAATGAGCCGACAAGAGATACTTTGATTATTTATCTAATGACATTAAAGTTGGACAGTACTACCAGTAGGGACTGGGAAGAGCACCGTACCACTTTAGGCAACTCACCAACATTGCTTGAATTTTGTAAATTTATGAATAATAAGGCAGATCTATTAGAAACATTAGAGGAAAACAAGAAATTAGATAAAGTGCAACATAATAACAGCATTAAATCTAAAAGTTTTATAGTTACCTCGCTGAAACAGCAAACAAATAATACTGAGAAAGATAAAAGTCAAATTACTTGTCCTTTGTGTTCTCAGAATCATTATCTTTATTCATGTGTAGCTTTTAAAAAATTAACAATAGAAGAAAGGGTACAGAAAGTGAAAGAATTCAAAGTGTGCATGAACTGCTTACGGGTTGGACATACAGAGAAACGTTGTAGATTCTCACGTTGCAAATACTGTAAAGAACGGCATAATACCTTGCTACATTTAGATCAGCCTGCGCTTCAAGTATATAACCCTATGCCTGTTGTATCCTCTAATAGTGTTTCGCTTTCAGCTGATATACAACCTGCTTCTCAGAAATATGTTTTGCTATCCACAGCGATGGTGAAGGTGTTGAGTCATAATGGCAAAAGGTACAACGCCAGAGTTTTACTTGACAGTGGCAGTACAGCCAACTTCATCACAGACCAGCTGTGCAATATCCTGGGATTGTCTAGAGTTGATGCTACTTCAACGGTAACAGGTATTAATGGTTTGACTAGTAACAGTACACAATCTTGCAATCTTACTATTGAATCAACATACGAACATTATTCTTTCAATATAAACTGCCTCATTCTATCTGAGATTACTAGTAGATTACCGGCATCCTACATAAATACAGAAAATATACCAATTCCTTCAGGGTTAGTTTTAGCGGACCCATCTTATAATATTCCTTCAGATGTTGATATTCTGTTGGGAGCTGAACTATTTTGGAATGTTATTCAGGCCAATCACATAAATTTGGGAAAAAATTTACCAAAATTGTGTGAAAGTAAGTTGGGATGGTTAATCTCAGGTGCTATACCTGCTAACATGCAGAAGCAAACACATATTTGTAATTTCTCTAAAACATCCTACAGTCCCGACTTAAGTAAATTTTGGGAACTTGATACAATATCATCTAAACATTGTCTTTCAGTAGAAGAACATGCTTGTGAGGAAAGTTTTAAATTAAATACGGTCCGTGGTTCAAAAGGCCAGTTTATTGTTAGTATGCCACTTAAGGAGGATCCCAGCGTTCTTGGCAACTCATATGTCTCGGCTAAACGTAGATTTTTGTCGCTAGAGAAACGTTTTGAACGCGATCCTATTTATAAAAGTTTGTATATTGACTTCATGAATGAATATGAAACATTAGGTCATATGACTGAGGATAGTGAGTTATCAGTTAGTGATAAAAATAATAAGGTTAGTTATTTCATGCCACATCATGGGGTTTTGAGGGAGTCAAGTGAAACCACAAAGTTAAGAACAGTCTTTGATGCTTCATCAAAATCAACAACAGGATTATCACTTAATGATATCCAATATGTCGGCCCGACTGTACAAAGTGATCTACTCTCAATCCTACTGAGATTTAGACAACATAAGTATGTAATCTCAGGAGATATCGAAAAAATGTATAGAGCTATAGAGCTCAATCCTAAGCAACGGTCATTACAGCGCATTATTTTTAGAAAAGATCCTTCAGAGCCACTCAAAACGTACACACTAAACACCGTCACTTACGGTACGGCGTCTGCGCCTTATCTAGCCACTAAGTGCTTAGCGAGCTTGGCAGAGGCTACGGATGATCATGACGTACAGAGTAGCATACAACGGGACTTTTACGTAGATGATTTATTATGCGGTAAAGACACTATAGAGGGTGCTATCGAACTGTGTCAAAATATAAAAAGAATTCTAAGTTCAGCAAATTTCAATTTAAGAAAATTTAAGTCAAATAATGCTAAAATTCTTGAAAAAATAGTAAATATAGAAGATAACACTTGTCTTGATTTAGATTTGTCTAACACCCACGCTTCAAAAACGTTAGGATTATTGTGGAATTGCCAATCTGACATTCTATCATTTTCAATTAATATTGACACTAAAACCACAATAACAAAAAGACACATTTTATCCATAATAAGCCAAATTTTTGACCCTTTAGGCTTAATTGGTCCAATTGTTGTGGAAGCCAAAATATTAATGCAAACATTGTGGGTCAATAAATGCGACTGGGATGATGAGGTTCCCCAGGACATAGTAGATCAATGGTTAAAATTTGTGGATGCATTAAAACATTTAAATTCGTTACACATACCCAGATGGGTCATAGCTGACAATTATATATTTAATGAAATACATGTATTTACAGATAGCAGCGAAAAAGCATATGGTGCTTGTGTCTATATACGCAGCATTGGTAGCGGTAATGCAGTAATTGTACGACTATTAGCTTCGAAAAATCGTATAGCTCCTATAAAACCAACAACGATGCCTAGATTAGAGTTATGTGGTGCGCTGGTGGGTTCAAGATTGTGTACTAAGGTTAAAGATTCCCTAACTATACCTGTCAGCCGGTCTATCTTTTGGTGTGACTCAACAATTGTGTTGAGCTGGTTGTCGGCACCATCGACACAACTCAAGCCTTTTGTCAGGCATCGAGTCAATGAGATACAAGAAAGCACTCTTGGATCTGTGTGGAACTATGTGCCAACTCGAGACAATCCCGCGGATTTAGTTTCTCGAGGGGTGAAGGCTGATCATATCAGCGACTCTAGTCTCTGGTGGACAGGCCCTTCATTTTTGTTAAAGGAGGAATGCCTGTGGCCGAAATTACCCAATGACATTGTAAAACAGGACTTACCCGAGCTCAAATGTCATGTAACTCAGGCTAGTAATGACCACATTCAGAATCAAACAATAATACAACAATTGATTCATAAATATTCTGATTTTAACCATTTGCTCAGAAATGTGGCTTACATTAAAAGGTACATTCACAATTTAAAAAATAAAGATAATAAATTAGTAGGGTTTCTGCATAATAAAGAAATTCAGTCCTCACTAAAATGCATCTTACGTAATGCACAATCTGAAATATTCTCAGATGAATATATTATTTTAAAAGCAGGCAAATCATTGCCTCACAAAAATCGTCTTTTATCCTTGTCACCTTTCATAGACTCTGACGACATTATTCGTGTTGGGGGTAGGTTGGACAATTCTCCTTATGAATATGACGTGAAGCATCCTATACTTCTGTGCAGTAAACATCATCTAACCAAGATATTATTCCAAAACGCTCATAGAAAATTATTACATGCTGGGCCTCAGTTGCTCTTGGCAACAATTCGTCAAAATTATTGGCCTTTAGGAGGTAGAAACTTATCTAGAATAACTGTGCAAAGATGTGTAGTATGTTTTAGACATAAGGCTCAAAATGTTCAACCAATAATGGGGCAACTTCCAAATTCACGGAGTAATCTAGAATTTCCATTCCTAAATTCAAGTGTCGACTATGCTGGCCCAATATTGATCGCTGACCGGAAGGGAAGAGGCTGTAAGCTTATCAAGTCTTACATATGTATTTTTGTCTGCCTGGCTGTTAAGGCTGTTCACCTGGAGCTTGTTACGGACCTCACAAAAGAGGCTTATATGGCTGCTTTGAAGCGGTTCATTGCGCGCCGTGGCAAACCGCGAAGCATATTGTCCGATAATGGGACTACCTTCGTCGGGGCGAATAATCAGTTACGCCTTTTTTTACAGAATTCTAATGTAGCAGGGAATTTGGCCCAAGAAGGTATCGAATTCCACTTCGTGCCGGCCTATACTCCCCATTTCAACGGCGTTGCTGAAGCCGCTGTGCGCTCCACTAAACATCATTTAAAAAGACTGCTCAAGTTAACGTATTTTACGTATGAGGAGATGGCTACATGCCTAACTCAAATAGAGGCAATTCTCAATTCCCGTCCTCTTACTCCTTGCTCTCCCGATCCACATGACCTTTGTGCCCTGACACCTTCCCACTTTTTAATTGGAAGACCACTCACGCTCGTTCCTCATCCACAAATAGGAACTGACAGCGCAAACATCAGCCGTCTCGAGCGACTTCAAAGAGTGGAATTCATTAAGCAACATTTTTGGCAAAGGTTTAACTGTGAATATGTCTCTCTGCTACAGCAGAAGACTAAATGGTCTACGTCTTCTGGAGACATCAAGGTGGGCAGCCTCGTCCTAGTAAAGGACAAGACGTTGCCTCCCCTCTGCTGGATGCTGGGTCGCGTCGTGCGGACGTACCCGGGCTCCGACGGCGTCGCTAGGGTCGCCGAATTGAAGATCAAAGGAGGGACAATTCGGCGGGCCTTCAATGTCATCTGCCCGCTTCCACTACATTGAAGCCAGCGCTTCAACCCGGGGAGCATGTCTGCGCGTGAACGCAGCCGGACGCTCCCGGAAGAGGCGGGGCGCGCGGGGGAGGGCGACGCGAGCGGAAGCGGCGCACGGCCACCATCTTTTTCTGGCTTGGGATCGTTCGCGGACGACACAACACAACCTTACTGTTTTAATTCTAATATACCAGTTTAAATTACAGTCCACTATTATTATTGAAGAGACCCATACCCAACAGTCGGTCTCCTGGCTCTAAGCTACCTCCCTACCAATTTTCAGCCAAATCTATTCCGCCGTTCTTGAGTTATAAGTGGTGTAACTAACACGACTTTCTTTTATATATATAGATATGTAAATAGGAATACCGACACGCACATACGAGTATATATCTTGGAGGTCCAGATAATTGCATAGTTATAATTATTCTTCTCATACGATCTCTCTCTCTCTCTTGTTGGTTACCTGTAACCAATAAATATTTTAACAATTGACTGAGAATGATGATATTATACTTGGCCTAGCATTTTTCGTCTTATTTGATTTATTCTATTTGCTGTTTCTTATTATGTAACATAACATAACATCGCGCCCTTAATCCCGGAAGGGATAGGCAGAGGGGCACATTCCCGCACTTAATGCCACTGTACAATGTAACACCTACTTTTCACTATTTATGTTATGAGTCCCATGTAATAGGGGGTGAGCTTATTGCCATGTATCGGCTACAATTCCAAACTCCGTGCTCTCGGTGCAATTCGAACCCGAGACCCCTTGCCCGGCAGTCGCACTTGCGACCACTTGGCCAACGAGGCAAATTATATTCCAGTTCCTTATTATGTATTTTTTTTATATGACACTAATGATATTTTGATAAATTGTATTGGTTTACAGCTGTATTGTGTCATGACATAATAGTCATTTACACATTTAAAACTCTGGCCAAATCTCCTTCAACTTTGGCACATCCTCAAGAGATATTAGTGCCTCTAACACCTGCACTTTTGAACAAACAATTAAATAATAATCCGCCTGGGCCCTGAAATATTGGTGACGTCACAATTAATAATTATAATCATGTATTTGTTGTATAATATAACGAAGGAATATAACTTGTTTTCTTTTAATCCCTGTTTTTAAACATTTGTGGTTCTTAAATAATATTTGTTATTGTGTAATATCGTGGTGGCCCGGAGGTTTAAGACGCCCGTTTCTTATGCATGAGGGTGCGAGTTTGAAACCTACCAACGGCAAGTAGCAATGTGACAGTTTCGGAGCAATATGTACCTTCTAAGATTATCTAGACGCCACTGGCAAACGGTGAAGTAAATCATCGTAGCAAACCTGGGCTTATAATTTCTAATTATAATTTTGTAATCGCCAACCCGCATTGAGCAAGCGTAATGATTGATGCTTAAACCTTTTCCGTGTGAGAAGAGGCTTTGCTCAGCAGTGGGCATTTATTGGCTGTTGATGATGATGACAAATAATAATTTGGTGAACCATACTTGGTTAAAAGTTAAAATGCTATGAGCATTTCTAAAAAAAAAAACTTTATTCATAATAACAAAAATGCAAAATACAAAAATATATCTTAAGTACGTACAATTGATCTCACATTGTTAGATGCCTGTACTAGGACAATCCTGTATCGCGATTTCTATCTTTCTCATTCTATCTTTCTCATAGCGATAGTCAAAATGAAATTTCCACGAAGAGAAGAGTTAGTTGGTATTATTTTAAAAATAGTGCAAATTAACTTACTCGCGTAAATATTCTGAGAAAAGCTCTACTAGTTTCAAGCTACAGGGGGGCTCTTCCTCATGAGCAGCGTGCGTGGTTGCGGTAATGTCGCGCAGCCTACTTCGCGCTACTACGTGGGTAACCCGCGATTTTTAGTTAATTTACTATGTCTCACAATAGTTATTATAAAAACAAGTTGCGTAAAATTAGTAAAATAATATTACTCCTCACTAACTTACACAAACGACTTCAAGTCTCAGTAATTGAAAGCTATACCATTACACAAAACAGTCAGAGACCGAATAAAGTTTAAAATAAAAACCGAAGCCACAGTAAATTCCTTCTTAATAAAGCTACAAAATCATAATTAAACTCTAGAATAATAAACAGTAATAATATTTCCCGCTTTAAAACTCCGGGCGGTACATTTTTTAATAACTTTATGGAAAGTATGAACTTTTAAACCACTGTTATTGCTTTCCTTTCCTTAAGTCCGTAAACAGTTAAATTATGCTCGGTGATAGCTACTTCGTAAATTACTTTTGTAAAGGGCCAACGTATTTTTGGGTGCTCAGCTTTATAAACACCCTTTAAGGCCTAAATAAAGATACAGTGTGTACAATAACATTATGGAATGGGGCCTGGAAATGGATTCTAATTAAATTCTGTTTAAATTAGGTACTTTAGCATCTTTGGTGATGAGTGGTTTGTTGATTATTATAGTGAGAGTTTGTTTTAAGTTTTTTTTAGTATAAACCTTGATTTTAAGCATGATTATGAGTATTTTCTTGGTGAGAACTTATCTACTTGGGCATATACTAGAGTGTCATACTACTTTCAATGATAAGATCAAATATTATGACGTGTTCTGCGTTCTTACCTATATATAGCTAGACTGTTTAAACATACATTCATACATAACTTCACGCCTGTTTCATCTCCTCTCCATAGGGGTAGGCAGAGACTATGGAACGCCAATTACTACAATTCCTACATACCTCTTTCGCTTCATCAACAGCCATCAATCTTTTCATGCATGTTCGTCGGTTATGGGTATTCTTAATTTGGCCCTTTTTTAATACCTATAGGTATTGCTAATCTGGTCACTATATGTGCGTCTAGGGCGCCCTCTATTATTTAATATATAGTTAATATAGGTACATATTGTTTCAACGGACTGGGAGATGAAATATACTTTGATTGGATTTTGAGACATTGAGTATTACTATTTTAGTTCAACTGACACTGAGTACATACATACATACATAATACCAATACTCTGAAGACCTAGACATCTTCACAGCTTCAATATCAAAGGAGTTTTCGAATAAATCTTTGTTGATAAAATTAAATAAATCCATTAGCTACTCTAATCCCTTCAAAATAATCTTTTTGAAATGTTTTAAAAATATTTTGTTTAACCTAGTTTTCCACTGCATACGAGGGCAAGAGTGAAAAAGTAGCGGTGAGTAAAATGTCCCAAGCTTCTGCAGACCATTTTGTTAATCTTGTTTAGTATGCTGTATCCGAGCTGCAATATCGTGGTGGCCTGGAGGTTTAAGACGCCCGCTTCTCATGCATGAGAGGGCGGGCTCGAAACCTACCAACAGCGAGTACCAATGTGACTTTTTCCGAGTTATATGTATGTACTTTCTAGATTGTCTAGACACCACTGACAAACGGTGAAAGAAAGTATCGTAGGGAAACCTGGGCCTATAATTTCTAATTATAAGTTTAAAATTGCTTACTCGCATTGAGCAAGCGTGGTGATTAATGACCAAACCTTTTCCATGCGAGAAGACCAGTTAGCTGATGTATTATTAAGGAGTAACATGGGCTAATTTTATTTTGGAATATTATAAAAAAAAAGAAGTTGTGTTCGACTGCCTCGTTGGCCGTGTTGTCGCAAGTGCGACTGCCGGGCAAGGGGTCTCGAGTTCGATTCCCGGATCGGGCAAAGTATTACTGGATTTATTCAAAAAATCTCAGTAGTAGCACGGAGTCTGGAATTGTGCTCGGTAAATGACAACAGGCTCACCCCCTATTACATGGGACTCGTAACATAAATAATGAAAAGTGGGTGTAACATTGTAAAGTGGCATTAAATGCCGCAATGTACACTTCTGCCTACCCCTTCGTGGATAAAAGGCGTGATGTTATGTTATGTTAAGTTGTGTCCTATATATGTATAAAAACTCATATACAAACGGGCTACAGCTAGTTTCTCATATATCTGTGTATCTTTTTCTTCATATCATCGCTCAGCTTTGGACTACAAGCCTAATACTATAACTCATTCGTAAAATGTTATATGTAATTTACAAATTGCTTTTCGTTAATTTCAAAACTTGATCATTATCGCTAGGCTTAAATTGAATTACTCATCATTGATTCATTTATTTGTATCTTCAAAATAATTCTGTAACGTAAATCGTATAAATTAATTGAATACAAAGTTTATTTTAAAGAACATTTGGGGACCAACTTTCGTTTTAGATAACAATACATGTTTTGTATTATTTATTTATTTAAATAGATATACCGACAGCTTCTGTATACATAGCATTAAGTGATATGAAAGTAACATTTAGTATTTAGGCTTATACAGTCGCTAAGTATAGGTTAACCAACATTTAATTTTTAATTATTGACTATTAAGTCACTCAAGTCTTCGAGGATAACACCATAGAATAATATAACATAACAACACACCATTTATCCCCAAAGGGGTAGGCAGAGGTGTATTATTGAGCTACTGCCACTATACAATCAAACGTAACACCCATTTTTCGCTATTATGTTATGAGTCCCATGTAGGTAATAGAAGCCATCCTATTGCCATATACCGGACACATTTTCAGATTTCATGCTACTACTGAGTTTTTTTTTAAAATCAGTATTATGTTGCCTGAACTGGGAATCAAACCCGAGACCACTTGCCCAGCAGTCGCAGTTGCGACCACTCGGCCAACGAGAAATGAGAAGCAGAGAAGTCATGGAATATTAAGTAAGTGGAAAACTTCAAAAGGCTCAGTTTTTGTGAAAAAGGGTTAGAAAATTATTTATTTAATTTTTATTTTTTTTTCTTTTGCATATTACACAAGCCCATTTTCGCTGACCTTACATTTAACCCAAAGGTTGACTGGGAGAAGATGCCATATGGCATTAAGTCCGCCTTATGTACCTTATTTTGTGTGCATTATAGTGTTAATAAATAAAAATAAAAAAAAAATCTTTCTTCAGACTACTCAGGTGGTCACCATCAGCACCTAAAGGGGGAATCGATTCCTCTTAAATGGACTTTAAAACTGCCTCTGTAAGATTATCCCGCCCACAGAAAATATAACTTCTTCATATGTTCTGTGATCACGGCTCATCCGCTGGGATACTGGATCAACCCAGGATAATACCCAGGATATCCTGATGCCAATACTAAAATATCGAAGTATGTAGTCTTTATTGAATAAGTAAATACATCCCAGTCTTAGATTTATCCTAAAGGGCAAAATGTAACGAAAATAATTCAAGTTCGTCTGGTATAAGAAATCTAACGTGGGTGTTCTAATACAATATTTTAGGAGGTATTCTTATCTAAATAGGCGGCTGAATCCAATCAGATTATTTCCACTAGCTAAAGAAATATAATGTTAAGAATAATATTTGCCTTTTTACCAAGCAGGGAGATTATGTTTCTTATAGACATAACGTTCCGTATTGAATTCATAGGAATCGTGTTTAAGTTCATTTTATAAGAACATTTTTAAAAGTCTATAGCGTCTACCATTTTAAGTCGCATCATCGCTAGATAAATATCAGTTAAAATAGTAGTCCAAAGCTACTACTAACAAATGCAACAAGAATAAAAAACCAATAAAAAATTATATTAAGGGTGAGTAATCAATGTCTACCATTGCTTCAGTGTAAAACTATTATACATAACATCATGCTTTTTATCCCCGAAGTGGTAGGCAAAGGTACACATTTCGGCACTTTTTTATAATAACTATCGTGATACATACTAAATTAGGTAACTAAAAATTGCGGTTTACTTACGGCGAAGAGTAGGCTATGCGACACCGCTGCGACCGCGCACGCTGCTCATGAGGAAGAACCCCTCTGTGGTTCGAAACTGGAAGAGCTTTCCTCAGTATATTCACGCGTAGCCCGCGATTTTTAGTTAACGGCACTTAACCCTTTTAGTACCGTCATTATAGACACAATTAAAGAACAATAGATTGCGGTCACCGGTGTCCTCGCGGTGTTTGACAGCTTAATGCCACTGTACAATGTAGCCCCCACT